CCTCCTTTCCCAATCTAACACCACTCAGATAATAAACCACCTTCCTGTTTTTGCTACCAAAGTGGATAACCTCACATTTATCCACATTATAATTCACCTTCCATGCATTTGCCTACTTATTAAACTTAATACAAATCACACAAATTCTTCTCTGCATCCTCATTGCATTTCAACACCCAACCCAGCTTTGTGCCCCATGTTAATATGAGATGCTAATATATGCTCATGAATGCAAATAAGCTCTTGCTGCTCACTAGTGAAAATCTTATTCAACATTTGTTTGGAAGCTCCCGATGTCAAGAAGCTTCTTGCCAGACATCTCACCCAATTTTCCCAACTTCCTCGCCACAGCCCACATCATTCAGGGTCTGGGAAGATTCTATCCAATAAATTGTACCATCCATAGACTAGATTATTCGTCATCTGAAACTTAGGTGACTTCTGAACCACATTGTCTGAAAAGTAATAATATATTTAGAGTTACACAAATTAAAATAACCTCAAGTGAAGAATAGTGTACTGCTGAGTACTATTTCAAAGAGAGGATTGGATGCAGATATACACAAACCGGTGTTATTTCTTAATTCATATCTAACAAATGTAATGCCACCATAAAGTTACAAAAATGCTCAAGATTATATTAATAACCTATCTCAGGCAGAAATATAATTAAAGTGTATTACAGAATTGCAGTGTCAGCATACTTCATTTCATTACAATGAACAAAGATATGTTCAATATTCAAGGTAACTATACAATTTAGCAAGATTATTTTACAGTTGAATTCAGCATGTTCTGATAGGCTGCCAACTTTGAACAATAAAACCATCCATTGGTGATCTGAGCGCAAGTATACAACTTCATACTCCCAGAGTTGATAGTATAGAGTTTGAAGATCTTACAGTATCCATCAATTGAGGTTGGTTTGATTTGGAATTTCTGAATTCATCTCTGGGGCTCCTGGGATCAATTGTCCTTTTCTCATTGCGATGTAATTAAGGTTGTATGTATATACTTCTGAATTGTAATATGCTTACAATTTATCTCTCTGTTTTCAAGAGACTTAAGCTGTTGCACAATTGTGTGATACACTTTATATGTTTTCAAGACAAGTAGAGGAATTCTCCCAGTGTCCTCACTAATATTTATCCTAAAGCCAACGTCAATACAAACATATGTGGTTATTATAGGCTTTTTTTGGGACCTTGTTTTAAGCAAACTGTTTCCCATATTAATCTAGTGATTGCATTTTAAAAGTACTTAATCAGTCATAAAATATTTTGGGAAGATATGAGCTCTGTAAGGCAGTACATGAAATGCCAAGCTGTTTTTCTTGCACCTATCAGTGTTTTTCAAAAACCAAAAGCTAAAGCCAAACATTGCTAGAAAAATAAGGCACCTAATCAATGTTGAGCAGCAATAATCAAAATTTAGCGCTTTATCAGGTTGATAACATTTCTCTTGAACTTTAAGAGACATGAGTTTGTGGAATGCATTAATTGGCATATTGCAATGTAATGTGCTGGAAAACTAGAAGGGTGCACTTTATTATGGTAAATGTGTATGCCATTGCAATTAACGCATATTGACAAAAATGGCAATTTAATATACAGAATGGAACTTATTCATTCAAACTCCAGGAGACACCCCAGGGACTGATAGATAACTACACATTATCTTGACCTGCACAGCAACTTGGCAGGGGATTCAAACAGAATTAACAATGTTAAGAAAATAATTGATTAGACAATAGCAAATCAACCCTTAATCGGAAGAGAACCAGGGAGAACAACAGCTATATACGCTTCTGAAAGAGCCAAACTAGGTAGTAGTCCTAAGGGTGAATGCTCTGACTTTGTCAATGCGTCATAACTTCCTAGAAATTTAGGCATGTAAAGCACATCATTTCCCACCCATTTTTACTTGATTAAGCAAGTGAGGAACTAAATTATATCCTATTTAGGTATGGTTAGTTAATAAATCATTTCTGGAGAGAAGAAAAGATATGGCCTAAGTATTAAGTAAAGTTTATACTTTTTTTGCTGTTTATAAGTCAAGTTCATGTAAACTTCGTATTTTACTCGAAGGCACTCTATGTTTTAAACGAGTAACTTAAAATATGTAATGGGCCTAGTGTACTAGGTTGTGGTTGTTTTGAGAATGAATTTGTTTTAGGCATCAACAGTTATTATGGAGTCACACATAATTTTTGTAGAAGTCAGAAGTCACATGACACCAGGTTATAGTCCAACAGGTTTATTTGAAATCACAGGCTTTCAGAGTGTAGCCTGTTCGTCAGACCAAATGAGAGAGAAGCATACAGGCACAGAATTTATAGGCAGAGAGATCAAAAGATCACACAACTGGTGTGAGTGGAGTGTCGAATCATAAGTCCCTGGAGGTGATCAAAATTGTCAGATGGTGTGAGTAAAGTGTCAACAGCTGAATAAAAAGTGAAGGAATGACCTATAATCTGATTAAATGAGGCAGAGAGCTAATTACAAAATATAAAAAATAAGGTGGTGCTGGAGACAATCCAAATGACTGGAATAACATGATAGGTATAAGAGTCACATGTCAAGGGTCTAACCAGAGTAATAAATAATGCAAAACTGTACAGGCTAATTAAGGTGGAGAGATCATAACAATTTATCAGGGTGATGTTGTTAAACACTACAGTAAGTAAAATTTTACAGATACAGGATGGTCTGGTGGGGTCACATGTAGCACAACATGAACCTAAGATCATGGTTGAAGTCATCTTCATGGGTATGGAACTTGATTATCAGTTTTTGCTTGGCTATTCTGCGTTGTTGTGTGTCTCAAAGGCTGCATTGGAGATCGCTTACCCGAAGATTGGAGGCTGAATGTTCTTGACTGCTGAATTATTCCCCAACTGAGAGGGAACATTCCTGTCTGGCGATTGTTGTGTGGTGTCCATTCATCCATTGTCATAGCATCTGCATGGTTTCACCAATCTATCTATATGAGATAGATAACATTGGCCAAGTCATGTGAGTATCTGCCATGTACGTGGTGGGTGCGTTCCCACATGTGATGGTAGTGTCCATATCCATGATCTGACATGACTTGCAGAGGTTGCCATGGCAGGCTTGTGTGTTGTTGTGGTTGATGTTGTCCTGAAGGTTGGGTAATTTGCTGTGAACGATGGTCTATTTATGGTTTGGTGGTTGTTTGAAGGCAAGAAGTGGAGGCATAGGGATGATCTTGGCAAGATGCTCATCGTCATCGATGACATGTTGACGGCTGCAAAGATCATGGCGTAGTCTCTTTGCTCCAGGGCACACTTCAGCGGTCAAGGATGTTCAGCTTCCGATCTTTCGGTAAGCTTCCTTCAAGGCGGCATTCGAGATAAGTAACAATGTAGAAACGAGCAGAAGCTGATAACTAAGTTCCGTATGTTCACCGGCCAGACTTCAATAACCTACATTGTCTCTGTTGAGTAATGGTTCAATTTTAAAATGCCCATCATTGTTTTCTAGTCCCTCCATGGCCTTACTCATTTCTTTGTAATCCCCTACAAACTCTCAACCTCAAAAATATGTTAACCTGTCTAATTCTCATCTCTTGAGCATCTTTTTTAAAAAATCAACCTATCATTAGTGGCCCTGCCTTGGTTCTAAGCTGTGGAATTCCCTGGCCTCTCTTCCCACTTTCTGCTTTAAGACTTGACTCACAAACTTATTCCTTCTTGACCAAATTTTTGGTCCTGATCACATCACCTTATGTTGTACAGTGACGTGTTTTATTTTATTTCACTGTGCTCCTTAGAATGGATTATTTTTATTACATAAATAAAAATTGCTGTTGAGGATCCATGATCGAATGCATAAACTATGGATTTAATGAATATATGTAGTAAATGTACAAGGTATGATTAGTAAATTTGTGGATGATACAAAATTAGGAGGTATCGTTGAAAGCAAAGAAGGCTATCAAAAATTACAGAGGGATCTTGATCAGATGAGGAAGTGGGCTAAGGATTGGCAAATGCAGTTCAATGCAGATAAGTGTGAAGTGTTGCATTTTGGAAAGTCATACCAAGTTAGGACTTATACAGTAAATGGTAAAGTCCTGAGGAGTGTTGTGGAACAGAGGGACCTAGGATTACAAGTACATAATTCATTGAAAGCGGCCTCATTGGCCAGTGTGGTGAAGAAGGCATTTGGCATGCTGGCCTTCATCAGTTGAGGCATTGAGTATAGGAGTTGATACGTTATGTTATAGTTGTATAAGTCGTTGGTGAGGCCGCACTTGGGAATATTGTGTACAATTTTGGTCACCCTGTGAAAGGAAAGACATAGTTAAACTGGAAAGTATGCAAAGAAGATTTACAAGGAATTTGCCAGGACTAATAGGCCAGAGTTATAGGGAGAGTTTGCCCAAGATAGGATTTTATAGCTTGGAATGTAAGAGAATGAGAGGTGACCTTTTTGAGGCGTATATAATCATGAGGGGATGAATGCATATTGTGTTTTTCCCAGGGATGGAGAATTGAAAACTGGAGGGCCAAGGTTTAAGCTGAGAGGGGAAAAATTTAAGAAGGACCTGACGGCAACCTCTTCACACATTGAGTGGTGCATATTTGGAGTGGGTTGCTGGAGAAAGTGGTTGAGGCAGGTACAATAGCAACATTTAAAAAACATTTGGGTAGGTACATGGATGGGAATGGTTTAGAGGGTTATGGACCAAATGCAGCCAATTTGGAACTAGCTGAGTGGGCACCATGGTCAGCATAGAGCAGTTTGGGCCAAAGGGCCTGTTTCCATGTTGCATTACTCTATGGCTCCTTAACATCCCATAGAAGGCCTATGGTTGCGCAACGCTTCAAGATACGGGGCCTATGCAAACTCCTTAATTTGTCTAACATAAGGAAATAATTAAAATCTAAACAGACGTTGCAAACTCCTCCTTTGTCAAAGTTAAGTCCCTTAGGTTTCATGAAAAAGCTCAAAATAAAGTCGAAATGTAAAAACAGCAGCAGCCAGTTTGTGCGATGACTACCCTCAGACCGAAGACACTTTATAGGGTGACTTGAAGCGCGAGGGTGAGCGCGCCACCAGCTGTTAGGGAGGGCGCGTGCGGAGAAAACTACCGCCGGAATAAGGAGAGCTGAGCCGGGCCACTAACCGATGTAATCGTGCAGGCTCATCACAAGTGAACCTTGGCCCTCCAGCGGGGTACTAACAGCTGGCAGCAGTAGTCAGACATCCCGGACACTACATTGATCGGCTCTGCATCCTGGAGCAGCCGCTTTATGGTCAGGGTTGGAAATGAGTCAGTTTGCATAGTCTGGATTTGACCCCTCTCCCCATGTTCCTCATCTCTCTCTCTTTTATCGCAGATGAATGCGACGAGGAACATGAGCGCTTTGGCGTTTGCTCGGCGTCTCTTCGACAGAGAGACCTTCAGCACTCAGCCGCTCAGCCGGCTGACAGCAGTGGGAATCCGGAACGATTTGCGGCGGGAGAGAAGGAGCAGCAGCGGCCCAGGGCCAAGCCCCGACCACCAGCCTCACATCAAGAAACGGGGCTATGAGATCACTCGCAACCCCCACCTCAACAAGGTAAAAAGAGAGCAGGTCCCCCAGGGAGAAGCACTGGGAAGGGTGGGATGGGGTGGGATTCCTTCAGCAGCTTCCTACTCATTGTTCAGGCCGGGTCAAAGCAGCTCCAGCAGTAATCTCTGCTTCTAGACACTCAACAAAAACTGCTCATCACTTGAAAAGAAAACTGCAAAATGCTGGCCTCGCCGATTACATCGATTGATGTTTGAAACTTAACAAAGCTGTCCAGGCAATATTTAATACAAAATCTGCAGGAATGGGTCAGGGGTCCCAAGATCAGGAAAGTTGCACGCAGAGCGTTTTCCCAGGGAGTCGAGATGCAATTTCTTGTAGCAGTGTGAAAAAATGAAATGCGCTGGCCTGATCATTTAGTTTGCAAAAGCAGAAAACCATCCAGAGGTCTATGATTTACACCACTCGGAATATAACTCCAGTGTCCTGTTAATTTGAAACTGTTCGGGAGTTTATTTGACCTAAGCGCTGCGTAAAATAAAGCGGCTTTTAAAAAAAACCGGAAAAGGTGAAAACTTGAAGCAAAAGCAAAAAAATGCTGGAAACACTCAGCCCGTCAAGATAGAACAGATAAATGGGTGTTTCAGAAATGGACCTTTTTATCAGAATATTATGTTTTTGCTTCCTGACTTTTTTAAATGTATGCACTGCTTTATATGCTAACACTTAAACTTAACTTGCCAGAGATGACTCTCTTGTGTGAGCTCCCAATCCTCCATTGTAACTGCAGTCCTGATATGGAGGTGTGTCTTTTTTTTATATTTCAAAAATATACTTCATTCATAAAAAATCACATTGTATATATACATTGTCGCAAAAGCAGTTCGGTTCTGTACAGTTGCATATCAAGTAAACAAACAAAACATTGGACTTTGACTCTATCCAAAAAACCAAAGACCTCACACATATATTACTAATATTTACATATATTGAGGCACTAGGAGGGTCCATTAACTGAACAGACCCCCATTTACCTTCAGCAGGAAGACCTCAATGCACTTTCCCCACTGTGCCTTCCTTGGCAGCAGCTGTCCCAAGCTTTAGTGCCTCCCCTAGCACATAGTCCTGGACCTTGGAATGTGCCAGTCTGCACACTCTTTCCTTGTTAATGGCCTAATGTAGGTATAATTGCTAAATTGGATAGTGTAGCATGAATATATGCCAAACCCAGTCATCAGTTTACTGCAGGTGATATAATCATTGGGTCCTTATGTGTGTGCCTTTTAGCAGATACAGGAGAGATTTGTGGAATATTGCAGAATCAACCCTATAACCTACTTAATCACTTTCCTCTCTCTTTGCTTTCTCCAGACTTTTAATATGGCTTTTGTTTTCAAGCAATGCTGTCTCCCCTTTTCAAAATAACTGCTTAAATAATTTTATGCTGGAAAATTCCAATCACCATTTAAGTGTAGGAAAAAATAACTTTTATGGAGTTATTCTCAATTATTTTGTTTTTATAATGTTTTGCCAACAAAATACCGTAATGAAAACAAACTGTCTCCAGCGTCTAATTTTTCTATTCCTGAATACTTACCATAGTCTTGTATTGTTTACCTTAACACGGAATTGCCCCTCTCACAATGGATTGGTAAATAGTGTAGGTGTAATTTATCTGAAAGTCCCAACAAAGATTACATTAAAGGCAGTCAGGAGACTGGAAAAACATTGCAAGCCAGGCAGCATCTGGAGGAAAGAGCAGTCCTGAAGAAGGGTAGTACCCGAAACATTGACTCCTCTTTTCTCCAGATGCTGCCTGGCTTGCTGTGTTCTTCCAGCCTTCTGTTTGACTACCTGGATTCTAGCATCTGCAGTTTTTTTTTGTCTCTTACATAAAAGACAAAGTTATAGAGCAAATCAACTCTTCTGTATTGCTGCTTGGTCTCCTTATGGTTGCTGGACATGTCTTCCTGGTCCTTGACTCATTAGTACACTCATAATAACAATATTGTTGGGGGCAGAAGGAGACAATTCATGCCGTCATGTCTGTATTGGGTCTCTGAGCATTTTAGCTTTATGTCAAACTCGTTGCCTGTTCCCCGTAACCCTGCGCATTTTTCGTATTTTAAAAAATCATCCAAAGACCCTACAGATGCCCTCTTCTGTTGAATCTGCCTCTGTCACTTTTCCAGGCAGTGCCCTAAATGCTCACTGTGTGAAAATGTTTTTTTTTCATTTCACATTTGCTTTTTTTTGTCAAACATTTTAATACCGTATACTCTAGATCCATTTACAAAACTATTATTGTAAATGTCCTCTGAACTGTCTCTCTAATGCATTCATGTCGTTCCTGTGGCATGGCATCCAGACTGTGCACAGAACTCCAAGTGACATCTAAGCTGTGTCACCAGAAGTTCGACATAACCTCCCAGTCTTGAACTGTAATGGTTGTACGCATATGCACGCAGGACTCTGCTCCAGTACACCTTGGTTCTTCATGTTCTTTGTATCAAAATATAGCACTTCACAGTTCTCTGCATTGAATTTCGTCTGCCACTCCATCAGTGTGCCAATGTCCTTCCGAAACTCTGCACTGTCTTCCTCATAGTTTACAATTCTGTCAAGTTTTGTGAATGTGGCAAACTTTACAAGTGTCCTTTGCACACCAAGATCTTGGCTATTCATATAATCCGAAAAAGTAAGGATCCCTAAACTGATGACTGGGTCGATTTTGAATCCACGTTACTACTGTCCTTTTATTCAGTGACCTATCACTTTCATCATGAATGATATGTGGCACTGTATTGAACATTTTTTGGAAGTCTATTTACACCATATCAACAGCCTTCCCCTTGTCAACTCTCTCTATGTTACCTCTTTTAAAAAACTCCAGCAAGTTAGCTATACTCCATTTTCCCTTAAAAAATCCATGCTGACTGTTCTGAATCAATCCATATTTTCCATGTGACTATTAATTCTATTGTGATTAATTGTTTCCAGAAGTTTCTTCAACACTAGTTAAAGTGACTGGTCTTAAATCAGTAACAAAACATCCTTTTATTTTCCAGATAAAATTGCATTTAGATTGTCAAGGTCTGATTAGGGATAGTCAGCATAGATTTGTGCGTGGGAAGTCATGTCTGACAGATCTTTTAGAGTTTTTCGAAGACGTAACAAGAGGATAGATGAGGGTTGGACAGTGGACGTTGTCTGTATGGACTTTAGTAAGGCCTTTGACAAGGTCCCGCACGGCAGGCTAGTCATGAAGGTCGTATGGGATTCGGGGCGAGCTAGCTAATCGGAGTCAAAATTGGCTTGATGGTAGGAAGCAGAAGGTGATGTTTGAAGTTTGTTTCTCAGACTGGAGGCCTGTGACTCGTGATGTGCCACAGGGGATCTGTGCTGGGACCTTTGTTATTTGTCATTTACATAATTGATCTGGGTGTGAATGTACAAGGCATGATTAGTAAGTTTGCGGATGATACAAAATTAGGAGGTATCGTTGATAGTGAGGAAGGTTATCAAAAATTACAGAGGGATCTTGATCAGATGGAAGTGTGGGCTGAGGATTGGCAAATGCAGTTCAATACAAGTGTGAAGTGTTGCACTTTGGAAAGTCCAACCAAGGTAGGACTTGTACAGTAAATGGTAAGGTCCTGAGGAGTGTTGTGGAACAGAGGGACCTAGGAGTGCAAGTACACAGTTCGTTGAAAGCGGCATCACAGGTAGACAGGGTGGTGAAGAAGGCGTTTAACATGCTGGCTTTTTTTGGTCGAGGCATTGAGTATAGAAGTTGCGACGTTATGTTACAGTTGTATAAGTTGTTGGTGAGGCTGCACTTGGAGTATTGTGTGCGGTTTTGGTCACCCTGTTATAGGAAAGACATAGTTAAACTGGAAAGTGTGCAAAGAAGATTTATGAGGATGTTGTCAGGACGAGTAGGCCAGAGTTATAGGGAGAGTTTGGCCAAGATAGGATGTTATTTCTTGGAACGTATGAGAATGAGGGGTGACCTTACTGAGGCGTATAAAATCATGAGGGGCATAGATAGGATGAATGCATATTGTGTTTTTCCCAGGGATGGGGAATTGAAACTAGAGATCCTAGGTTTAAGGTGAGAGGGGAAAGATTTAAAAGGGACCTAAGGGGCAACTTTTTCATGCAGAGGGTGGTGCGTGTATGGAACGAGCTGCCAGAGGACGTGGTGAAGGCTGGTACAATGACAACATTTAAAAAGCATTTGGATGGGTACATGAATAGGAAAAGTTTAGAGGGATATGGGCCAAATGCTGGCAGATGAGACTAGATTTATTTAGGATATCTATTGGCATGGACATGTTGGACTGAAGGGTCCGTTTCCTTGCTGTATATCCCTACGACTCTATGACTAGGAGAGAATTGTTGTTGTGAATGGTAAATAGATCTGTTGTAATTTTGGACCAAGGGAACTGATGAAATCTTGTCAGTTTCTTTGCGTTGCTGTGTTTAGTGGTTCTCACATCTTGCATACCCTCACTGTTTTATTTTCTACCTTGTTGTTGATCTCAGGCCAATATGTAGTATCCTGTGCCAAGCATCATGTTCAATCTATTTTCACATGTCCTCTATGCAGCTATGACTCTGTCCTGGCAAAGGGCTTCAAGCACTTGTTTCCTTTCTAAAAATTACACTCCTTGAAATGGCTAGTTCATCCCTACTGGGCGTTTCTGGCACATCTTCTATTACTTTAGGCCATCCTTCTTTAATTATTTTCCACGGTGCCTTCAGCCATGAATCATTAGCTATTTCATTCTGAAGTTGGTTGGATTGTTACTGACCAAAGTTCATGAAAATATCCTTGAGAAGATCTTCCACATCAATGGCTGTATTGTCCACTTGTGAGCTTAGTGTAAACTCGGCATTCATATTTTGCTTTGGTAATTTTGCTCAGTATGAGTTTGTAGAAGATGTTGACGTTGTACCCAGGCATTTTCCCCACCAACTGTACTTTTACTAAAATTTGTTATATTTTGGGTAATGCACTTATTAGTTGTTTGTGCCAAATAGTT